TGCTGTTCTGACGGGGCTGTACAGTGAACACTGTTCTCTGGAGAAGCTACTGTTCCCTCTAAAAACAATCTGTCCTCACTCTCTGCTCTTCCCCATCTCTCTTGCTGAAAATGCCAAAGCCCCCTTTTCTCACCTGCACTCACACTCACTTCTCCAAGAGGAAACACTGAAGCCTTCCTACAAGTCTGGCTTCTTCAAATTCTTTTCCTGATGTTTCAAATTCAGATGTATTTCATTTAAAAGGTTTCAAATTTGCTTTTGACATTCACATAGTTTAGCTGATTTATAAAGCATAATATTATTTTATTAATATTGAATTTGGGGTACACCAAGAAGCTTCTGAGAAAAATCCCTTACGTTTGGTACAAAATGATAGAATGAACATCACAGCCTACAATAACATTAGACTCAAGCATAAAAATGACTAAGCTGACATATACATCTTAATTACTCTTCAGTTTCACTAGAAGTGAAGAACTGTTTCAACTAAAATCACAATATTATAAAGCTAGGTCTAAAGACAGAGGAGCAAAGTGTTTCTTTTTTCTTATTGTTTATTTTTATCTTACTTTTATTCTTTAGCTTTCTGGGGGGGGTGGGAATCTTGCAATGGGGGGAGGCAAATGCAGGGGGTCCTGGGAGATCAGTAGAAATTGGGTGTATGGTGTGAGGTTCCCAAAGAATTAATAAAAAATTTTAAAAATGGATTTAAAAAACCCAACTAGGTGTTAGTCATGAGAAAAACTGAATGTTCAAATTAAGCTGAAACCAAATGCACTGTAACAGTCCAGTTGGCCCCGCCCCCTTCCCCCTCTAAACTTCCAAATAAATGATTTACAAAGGCAATTTGGAGGCTGACAGCACGTCACACTCGGGTAGCCCCATCCATGAAGCTGTCCTTCCGCCGCAGAATTTCTCAGCAATTCTCCTTCCTACAGTGGAAATACTGCTCTGCTCCCAAGATGAACTGATTTAATCAACTTCTAGGGCCACTTAATGTTCTTACGAAGAAACACTATGAACCACATCAATTTTTATTTATAAGATACAAATATAACAAAAACAAACTGTCTGGTTTCTTAAGAGGTGTAAATTCTTTGCAGTTTTAAAAAAAAGTTCTATCCCTATAATAAATAAAAGCATTTTAATCAACTTATTTTGATTGCTCAGCTATTCAGTATGTTCTATTCAGTCTTGTAAACAACAAGCAAACCAAAAGATAAAAACAAGGCCTCTATATAGTCAGTCTATCTGCAGCAGCTTCCCTAAGGGCTAAAACCTGAAAGGAGCCAGGACATTCTTAGTTTGAAAAATCTCTTTTCTTTTTAAACAAAAACACTTACAAATGGTGAGTGTTTCCCACACTGGCAAAGCAACTTTTCTTTTTCTTCTTATTACTAAGATAAGTGACACAGGTAATGGGTTTCACTGTGACAATGCCATACACGCAGATATATTTTGATCGTCTCCCTCCTCACTGACCTCTTACCCTTTGCCCCCATCTCTAACCCCTTTCTCTTTCTCTAACAGATCTTTGAGAAATGAATAGCCCATAAAGTTCATGTAGCTGAGTGGTCAGCATTTACCACAACGTAAGAAAAAGCCTTCTAATGTCCAAATCCCCACGGTGCTGCAGATAAACAAAACATGAGGTTTATATACGGGGAGGGGCCAGCAGTCTTGAACGTCAAAGTGGAATGCTATCATTTCTGAAAAAAATTATTAGTAAGTACTATGCTACTTTGCAAGTATTGTTAGTATTTGATCGATAACACATCTTTATTAAGTAAAAGAGAATATATTAAATTGTGCTCCTAAGTATATTTTCTTTGAGAACTAAAAGATTCAGAGAATTGGTATGAATTTCAGAATTGGAACAGAATTCAGAGACCTCCGAATTCTACTTTTATGAGCGTACACAGGGGTGGGGGTTGGTGTGGGTGTGAGAAGGCAGGTGAAGAGGAACTAATGGTAGCACCTAGGATCAGAACTCAGCCCACATCCCTGTGTTCCCCATTACCTCCTATTTATTTTAAAAAATAATGTTGATTCATTTTTTTTTATATAGGTATGAGTGCTTTGCCTGAATATACGTATATGCACCACGTGCATGCCTAGTGTCTACATAGGACAGAAGAAGCTATCAGATGTCCTGGAATTGGAATCACAGATGGTTGCCCATTGCCATGTAGTGCTGGGAACTGAACCTGGGTCCTCTGCAAGAGCAGCTTGTATTCTTAACACTGAGCCATCTCTCCAACCCTGTTATTGACTATGTCTGAGGAATCACTATTCATATATCTTTTGTAGCAGAATAAACTGTCCCAATATGGTGCTTAATTTATAGCTATCAAGAACATAAGATCATGGATTTACAAAGCTGATAATGAAAATAAAAATGACAGTAGGCTCCCACACGCAATCTTTTAAGACCCATTGTCCTTTTTTGTTTCCTCCCTGTGAAACTGCCTTGACTCTCTCCAAGGAGGACTGGCTGTCTCCAGTTCTGTGGCTGCTGGATTTATGGGATGGCTACCTCATTCATCCCTCTTACCAGCTTAAGGGTTACTGTGTGTGTGTGTGTGTGTGTGTGTGTGTGTGTGTGTGTGTGTGTGTGTGTGTG